CCACTGCGCTCCAGTCTGGGCGACAGAGTGAGACTCCAACTCAAAAAAAAAAAAAAATCAAAGAATAACTTTCACAGTAAATTTTTTTCTTTAATATTAAAGAGTTCTGGGACCAGATTATCTTTTTATTTGGTCTTTCTTTCTTTCTTTTTTTCTAAGTTGGAGTCTCACTCTGTCACTCAGACTGTAGTGCAGTGACTGCTCCCGGCCACCACAGCCTCGACCTGCTGGGCTCCAGTGATCCTTCCACCTCAGCCTTCCAAGTAGCTGGAACTACAGGCGCGCACTACCATACCGGCTAATTTGTTTTTTTTTTTTTATTGTAGAGATGAGGTCTTGCCCAGGCGGGTCTTGAACCCTCTGGCTCAGGCAATCCACTTACCTCAGCCTCCCAAAGGGCTGGGATTACAGGCTGAGTCACCGAGCCCGGCTTTTTAAATTTTTTTATAGAGGAGAGGTCGTGCTATGTTGCCCAGACTGGTCTCAAACTCCTGGCTTTAAGTGATTTTCCCACCTCAGCCTCTCAAAGTGCTAGGATTACAGGTGTGAACCACCGCACCCAGCCTGATCTTTGTTGTTTTTCTTTTCTTTCTAAAAAAAGCTATTTTGTTAGATCTCTGGAGCATGATTATTTATAGCCAAATTCTAAAATACCACTTAAGTGTCAATAAAGAACCACATTTATGAATACAACAGCTACTATTACAACACCAATAAAAAAACAAAATTTTCGTGGTTAACACTGAAAATCAAGTATCAGGTTTTATCCTATTGTTCCTTTATTCACTTTTCCAAGACGTCATTCAGGATAATGTTCCTATCTGATATATATGCATAACATAAAAGTACATGCTTACAACTTGAGTGGATATGAAGATCAAATTGAAGGCTTTAGAATAAAAGATCCCAATATCCTCCTCAGAAAGGGAAATCTATGCATTTCTGCTTATTTATTGAGGGTAGGGGAAGGTGCTAGTTAGATCAATGAGAGCCTTTGTGTTTATCAAAGAAAATCAAGTAGTTTAGGCTTCACCTATTTTTTTTTTTGAGTTGGAGTCTTACTCTGTCGTCCAGGCTGGAGTGCCATGGCACACTCACGGCCACTCCAGCATTGACCTGCTAGGCTCCGGTGATTCCTCTGCCTCAGTCTTCCAAGTAGCCGGAACTACATACATGCACTACCATGCCCGGCTAATTTTTTATTTATTGTAGAGACAAGGTCTCACCAAGTCCCAGGCTGGTCTCGAACCTGCAGGCTCAGGCAACCCACTTGCCTTGGCCTCCCAAAGTGCTGGAATGACAGGCTGAGCCACCGAGGCCAGCCGGCTTCATCTATTCTAAAAAAGCAAAACATTAGCTAACAGAATAAACATTAAAGAATTTTCCTGGAAGTCAGTGCACTGAACAGATAGCAAATAACTATTTGGGGGAAAGTATATACAATAAAGATGCCTTTTTTGAATGGCTGAATGTGGGACCTATGATTTAATGATACGCTTCTATAGGAAAGATCCTCACATCCAGCTGAAATCATTGTTCAAATTGTATCTCACACGAGAAAGAAAAAATTGAGAAGCAATTTAATGATAGGAAAAATAAGCACATTTCATCAAATCTAAAATACCATCTATTGTAATATACTCCCATTATTGTAAGTATTATTAAGAAACAATAAAGCCAATTAAGCTATAATATAATATAATCTCATTTTAGAGATGTTAAAATGTGACAAATATGCATATTTAGAATTGATGAAATATGGAATCAAGGATATCACCTAGTGACAAAATAGTATAAATTCCAAAGCTCAAAAAAATTGTTTTTTGGGGGGCAAAGAAAGCTTCACCATCATCTGAATTTCTTAGTAGTGAACAAGCCTTTCACTAAGCAGTTAGTGGGAAAAAGTAGATTTTCATTTTAATGACTTATTGTGGAGATTATATTGACTTGGCTGTAGACATCAACCCCCTCAAAAGTACTTACTGTGCTTCCTGACTGGCTTTCCTCCAGTTTGGCAATGGAGCCGTTCTCCCTACCTTCTCCAGATGATACCTTGGCAGTGCCTTCCCCATCAGTCATTTCTCTTGTCTCTAAATCCTTAATCAGTTCAGCCTCAGAGACTTCCCTTTCTATTGGCTCTTTACTCTCTGCCTTCTTTCTCTCCTGGGTCTCTTCTGTTTGCACAACCATTTTGCTTTCGATGTGCTCCTGGGTAGATGTCTCTCCCAGCTCAGCACACGAGTCTTCTGAAATGCTCTTCCCAGAGTTGGTCACTGGGATCTGCAGTTTTTCTGGTGATCTGAAGTCCATACTCACTACTCTTAACCTCTGAGAATTACTGGGAAATTCGGATGCCATCTTGACACCATCGTTGCCGTATTTTGGTGCATGGAAACTCATTCCTGAAGTACCAGGTGCTTCTTCACCATCACTGTCTGAGCTCTCAGAGCTAGACCCCTCTGCGGTCTCTAGTCCTTCCATGCCCAACCTGTCAGAAGAAACAGAAAGGTTTAACATTTATAGGTAATGCTTAAGGCAGAGTTGCAGTTTGTCCAGGAAACAGACTCTGTCCGAATAAAAGTACCTGCTAGCTTGAGAGAAAGGAAGTAATTTTCAGAAAAAGATATTCCAGAGGCATAAGCAGAAGTAAAAAAAAACTTCAATGAGACTGGAACCAACCACCCCAAGAGGATGATCTTTTTCTAAAGTTGTGATTCTCTTAAAACAAAACTGACTTTGGCCGGGCTCGGTGGCTCAGCCTGTAATCCCAGCACTTTGGGAGGCCGAGGTGAGTGGATTGCCTGAGCCCGTGGGTTCGAGACCTGCCTGGGCAACTTGGTGAGATCTCATCGCTACAATAAATCAGAAAATTAGCCGGGTGTGGTAGCGCACGCCTGTAGTTCCACCTACTTAGAAGGCTGAGGCGGAAGGATCGCCGGAGCCCAGCAGGTCAAGGCTGTGGTGGCCAGGAGCGGCTACTGCATTCCAGTCTGGGCGACAGAGTGAGACTCCAACTCAAAAAAATAAAAATATAACAAAACTGACTTTACTTAAAGTTTTTTTCCCCATTACATTAATTTCAACTGTTAGAAATTAAACAAGCCGGGCTCAGTGGCTCAGCCTGTAATCCCACGCCTTTGGGAGGCTTAGGTGAGTGGATTGCCTGAGCCCGTGGGTTCGAGACCCGCCTGGGCAGCGAGACCTCATCTCTACAATAAATCAGAAAAATCAGCTGGGCGTGGTAGTGCATGCCTGTAATTCCGGCTACTTGGAAGCCTGAGGTGGAAGGATTGCCGGAGCCCAGCAGGCGAGGCTGCAGTGGCCGGGAGCGGCCACTGCACTCCAGTCTGGGTGACTGAGTGAGACTCCAACTCAAAAAAACAAAAAAAACAAAAAAAAAAAAAGAAAGAAATTAAAATCATAAAGCTATAGAGTTAACTACAAAGGAGTACACAATACTCTGTATCTTGATTGTGCTGGTGATTACATGCCTATACATCATACATACTTCAGAAGTCATAGACCCAATCAACCAAAAAAGGGTGAATATTGAGGTATATAAATTCACCCATGGCAGACGGTAAGAGAATTGAGTATGAACTCCGTATCACCAGAAAAACTACAGATCCCAGTGACTGACTCTGGGAAGAGCATTTCAGAAGACTCATGTGCTGAGCTGGGAGAGACATCTACCAAGGAGTACACGGAAAGCAAAATAGTTGCAGAAACAGAAGAGACCCAGGAGAGAAAGCAGTCAGAGAGTAAAGAACCAATAGAAAAGGAAGACTCGGCCGGGCTCAGTAGCTCATCCTGTAATCCCATTCCTGTGGGAGGCTGAGGTAAGTGGACTGCCTGAGCCAGAGGGTTCAAGACCCGCCCGGGCAACTTGGCGAGACCTCATCTCTACGGTAAAAAAAAATAAAATAAAATTAGCCGGGTGTGGTAGTGCACGCCTGTAGTTCCAGCTACTCGGAAGGTTGAGGTGGAAGGATCACTGGAGCCCAGCAGGTTGAGGCTGCGGTGGCCGGGAGTGGCCACTGCACTCCAGTCTGGGCGACAGAGTGAGACTCCAACTCAAAAAAAAAAAAGAAACAAAACAGCACCACTATTTTTTCTCTCAGGAACAATTAAGTCCCATTTCAGAAAGAACACACAGAATTCTATGCTAAACTCAGTGTTACACGATCTTTGGTTAATAATTATCTTTCTGGCCGGGCTTGGTGGCTCAGCCTGTAATCCCAGTGCTTTGGGAGGCTGAGGTGAGTGGATTGCCTGAGTTCGTGGGTTCGAGACCCACCTGGGCAACTTGGCGAGACCTCATCTCTACAGTTAATAAAAAAATTAGCCGGGCATGGTAGCGTGCACCTGTAATTCCAGCTACTTGGAAGGTTGAGGCGGAAGGATCGCCGGAGCCCAGCAGGTCGAGGCTGCAGTGGCCGGGAGTGGCCACTGCACTCCAGTCTGGGTGACAGAGTGACACTCCAACTCAAAAAAAATAAAAAAATAAAAATAAATTAAAAAAAATAATAATCTTTCTAACCCCAAAGAGGAGATCAACAGGGAAGCAAGATCTATTTGTACTTATCATTTTCTAGAACTTGGCTTAAGGAAACTGAGCAGGCAACTAGACCAACCAACTAGGAGGGGCAAGATAACTAGCAGAACAGATTAAAAAGTACTGTTCTTTTCACTTACAAGTGCAAAAATGGTAAACAGGTCTGGTAAGGACAGGCATGGTGGTTCACACCTATAGTCCCAACTACTCCAGGGGCTGAGGTGGGAAAATTGCTTGAGCCCAGGAGTTCAGGGTCACAGTGAACTATGATGATGCCACTGCATTTTAGTCTAGGTGACAGAGAGAGACCCTGCATCTTCAAAAAAAAAAAAGTCTGGCAAAGTGGCCAAAAATCTCAGTGATGACTGTGAAAAACCTGGATAGTACAGCTTGACTTTCATCACCTGGAATTTTTGAAAGTTAATTCCTTCAACAACAAAATGTAATTCAAATATAAAGCTATTTCTATGTAATGTTTCGCTCTAAGGAAAAAAGTTATTATTCAGATCCTATTAATGGCACTCACAGCAGAAACCATTACTAGAATGTACAACGTGACAATCATCGAAACATAAAGAGTGAAGCACACTGGAAATTTTCTTAGCTTCCATCAAACGTTACATAAAAATGTGTTTATGTTAGTTAGACAAGAAGGAAATATATTATGTCAGTCCTCAAAGATAAGTCTGGAGTGACAACGACACATACTTACCAGAAGCATTTCCTTTTCCCTGCACTAGCTCCTGTGTCTGTGTTCGGCTTGGTAGGCCTTTGCCGCTTCCGATTCTCACTGATTTCTGCTGATACCATCTTGCTGGAGGCAGCTTGCATACCTAACCAGAAACATTAACAACTCAGTTCCTACTATAAGGACAGAGTTTAAAGAAATTATAAGTAATACGAATTGCAAAAAGAGCTGCAATCTAAAGCCCTAGATTCCCAGCCTAGGCAATATGACGAGACTTTGACTCTACAATAAATCAAAAAACTAGCTGGGCATGATGGTACATACCGGTAGTCCCAGCAACTTGGAAGGCTGAGGTGGTGGGATCACCTGAGCCTAGCCTGGGCGACAGAGTGAGACTCCCACTCAACAAAACAAAACAAAACAAAAACCCCTCTAGATTTAAGTTTCTTAAGATACCAAAATTTTATATGGTTAAAATGAGATTAAGCTCAAATTTACAAAGATTAAAAATAATGAACATTCTGGTTCTGGAACCAGATTTTTTTTTTTGAGTTGGTGTCTCACTCGCCCAGACTGGAGTGCAGTGGCATGTTCCTGGCCACCACAGCCTCGACCTGCTGGGCTCCGGAGATCCTTCCGCCTCAGCCTTTCAAATAGCTGAAACTACAGGCGCGCACTACCATGCCTGGCTAATTTTTTTTTTTAATTTATTGTAGAGACGAGGTCTTGCCAAGTTGCCCAGGCTGGTCTCGAACCTGCGGTCTCAGGCAATCCACTTGCCTTGGCCTCCCAAAGCGCTGGGATTACAAGCTGAGGCACCAAGCCTGGCCTGGAACCAGATTTCTATAGCACCACCAATTTGGCAACTTTGAGGCTGATTGGATCACACCTAGCTTTCCCCAAACCTAACTAATTATCCTACTGTGTTAGTTATTTGCATATATTTGTCTTTTTTGCTATGTCATACTTTTTTGGGTTTTTTTAATCAGTCTCACTCTATCGCCCAGGCTAGAGTGCAGTGGCATGTTCACAGCTACCGTAGCCTCGACCTGCTAGGCTCAGGTGATTCTTCTGCCTCAGTCTTCTAAGTGGCTGGAACTACAGGCATGCACCACCACTTGGCTAATTTTTAAAAATTTTATGTAGAGATGAGGTCTTGCCAAGTTGCCCAGGCTGGTCTCAAATCCCTGGACTCAGGTAATACTCTCAATTCCAACTCCCAAAGTGATGTCATTAACGTTTTTGATGGCAATTTAGGGGTTCAGTATGTCAAGTGTTGTGTAGATATGTGTTCTTTTAAAAAAATATACTATGTTCATTTTTGAGGGAAGACATTCCAAGGCTTTCACCAGCTTCTCAGATGCTCGTAACTCAAAAAAAGCTTAAGAACTGCTCTTTGTGTGCAACGTGGAGCAGTATGGCCCAGCTGGCCTCGGGGGTGTCTGCGGACCACACTAAGAAACCTGAGTCCTACCTTTGAGGACGGAGTCCTCCAGGCGCTCAGCCATCTCATGGCACTGCTGTTGGTAGTCGGGGTTGGTGAAGCAGTGCTTGGGTTCTGCCAGCTTCCGCTGCAGTCGTTCTAGTCGCCTCTGCTCCTTTTCAGCCTCTCGCTCAGCTTGTTGTTTTACCCAATCAGCCATTCTGGGGAGGAGGGAGGAAGAGATTAACTGACTGGCTATATTTTTTATATATGCTTTGATATGTACAATATCCCCGACAAATTAATGTACTCTTGTTCATATTGTGTTATTCGCTCAGAAAGGTGAGCCATGCTTATTACTGACATACTGGAAAGGTCTTAACCAAATCCCAAAGACAATTATTACATGATGGAAAAAGTTAAATCTGATAACAATAGACTGGAGTGTAAATATTTCAAGGTGGCATTTCCATATGCACGGCATGTGTGTGTAAACCACTACTGCTATGGAAGTATGGTGGGCATACTTCCATACAAAGAAGGGTGGGCATCTTACGCTTTTTCATGATTGACATCTCGCAGTCTCCTTCCACTGAGGTCCCGGCAAGCTTCTCGATTGGTTGTCTTCTCAATCTGAGCACCAAGTGCTCGGAGCATAGATCCAAAACCTGAGAAAGTAGGTTAAAATGTATTCAAGAATGAATAAAAGCTACATTTGTGAAAACAGTCTGTATCACAAGATTAACAGTGATTTCTTCTCTCTTGCTCTCTCTCTCCTTCTAAAAGATGGGCATCAAGCTCCTAACTCAGGCAGCAAAGGTGAAATGATTCCACCTCATGCCTTTCACCCTTCATTTCATATTTCTGAAATATTGTGTCTATAAAGCAACAATAGTTAAAGGGCTTTACCCAAAGCCAGAAATCCCAAGATCTCCAGATTAAGGATTTAAAATTATATGAGATTTTTCAATGAGTTGAAAAGGAAGGGTAAACTTTCATATTCTGTTTTCACTCTTTCAGTTTTCTTCTCTCTCTTCTTAGATGTGTAAATACAACCAGGACCTCAATCTACCCTAACTAGTAAACAGTTGTGTTTCCTAAGGTGACTTCAGACCTCACTTGGAACTACAATAGTGAGATAAAATCTTGCTAAAATCAGAGGGAGATTTAAAAAACAAAAAATTGGAGCTGGGCACAGTGGCTCACGCCTGTAATCCCAGCAATCTGGGAAAACGAGGTGGCAAGATCGCTTGAGCCCAGGAGTTTGAGAGTAGCTTAGGCAATATAACAAATCCCCATCTCTACGAAAAACTTTTACAAATGAGCCAGGCATGGTGGTGCACGCCTGTAGACCCAGCTAGGTGGAAAGCTGTGGCGGAAGGAACACATGAGCCCAGGAGGCAGTGCCTGTGGTGAACCGTGATGGTGTCACTGTCCTTCAGCCTGGGTGAGACTTTGACACAAACAAACAACAAAAAAACTTTCTTCAGCAATTTAGACAGAATAGTGGCCATCCTTCTTCATCTAATCATCCCAAAAGTTTTAGGGTGGAGGTTTTCTAAGAGCTATCTGGCTAGAGAAAGTAGGACTTGTGTCATATGACATTTCTTCCTTTAAAAAAAGAGAAAATATTCAAATTTATATAAGTAATAAAAGGACTTGATATGGCAAATCAAGACTAGTATACTACAGAGACCAAGGAGTTAGTTAATTTAATACTGCAAACAAGCCGGGCTCGGTGGCTCAGCCTGTAATTCCGTGCTTTGGGAGGCTGAGGTAAGTGGATTGCCTGAGCCCATGGGTTCAAGACCCGCCTGGGCAACTTGGCGAGACCTCATCTCTACAATAAATCAAAAAATTAGTCGGGTGTGGTAGCGTGTGCCTGTAGTTCCAGCTACTTGGAAGGCTGAGGTGGAAGGATCACTGGAGCCCAGCAGGTCGAGGCTGCGGTGGCCGGGAGCGGCCACTGCACTCCAGTCTGGGTGACAGAGTGAGACTCCAACTCAAATAAACAAAAACAAAAACAAAACTGCAAACGTGCTACAGCTAAGTAGTCAACATTCAAGTCCTACCTCCTTTTCCGCCACAAAGTCTGGGCTCCAAACTATAAACAGCGCCATGCTGTACTGTGTCACTGGTGTTGATGAGCGATCCATTGCACTTCACAAAGAAGTATTCCACTGGAACATCCTAGAGACAAGATTGGGTTTTTTAAATGCCTTATGACAATACAAGTTTCTTATAGGAAGGGACCTAGCTTATTATCTCCTTATTACTATGATTGCAAGCTGATAGTATATGTTCAATTAATATTTGTTAAATGAAAACATAAACTACTAAAAAAAGTCATCTCATATGATACATTCTGGGTACAATTCTTAACTAATATTACCTAATCATTATATACAGAAGAAACTTCCATCCTTTGGGTAAGAATGAAAATTGCTTCTTTCCCTTTCTTTAATAATCTGAGTAAAGGCAGTAGAAGACTATACAAAGGCTCAGATTTGGCAGAGCATGGTGGCTCATGCCTATAATCCTAGCACTTTGGGAAGCCAAAGTGAGAGAATTGCTTGAGCCCAGGAGTTCAAGACCAGCCTACGCAACACACCAACACCTCGTGTCTCTACAAAAGTCAAAAAAAATTACCAGATGAGGTGGCATGCACCTGTAGTCCCAGCTAGTTGGACGGCTGAGGTGGAATAATCACCTAAGTCCAGAAGGTTGAGGCTGCAGTGAGCTGTGACTGTGCCAGTGCCCTTCAACCTGAGTGACAGTGAGACTCTGATTCAAAAAATAAAAATAAAAAAAAAAAAATAAAGGTTCAGTGGGTGTGGTGGCTCACACTTGTAATCCCAGCACTTTGGGAGGCCGAGAAGAGAGGATCACCTGTGTCCAGGGTTTTGTTTTGTTTTTGAGTTGGAGTCTCACTCGGTCGCCCAGACTGGAGTGCAGTGGCCGCTCCCGGCCACCGCAGCCTCGACCTGCTGGGCTCCGGCGATCCTTCCGCCTCAGCCTTCCAAGTAGCTGGAATTACAGGCATGCGCTACCACGCCCGGCTGACTTTTTGTAGAGATGAGGTCTCACTGCCCAGGTGGGTCTCGAACTCGCGGGCTCAGGCAAACCACTCACCTCAGCCTCCCAAAGGCGTGGGATTACAGGCTGAGCCACCGAGCCCAGCTGTCCAGGGGTTTGAAACCAGCCTGGGCAACTTGGAGAGACCTCGTCTCTACAATTAAACCAAAAAACTAGATGGGCGTGGTGGTGCATGCCTACAGTTCCAGCTACTTGGAAGGCTGAGGTGGAAGGATCGCCTGAGCCCAGCAGGTCAAGGCTGAGGTGGCTGTGAGCGTGCCACTGTACTCCTCACTGTACGACAGAGTGAGACTCCAACTCAAAAAAAAAATATATATATATATATAACATCAATAGTCCTTAAGTTTAAAACTGACAATGCACATCCTGCAAGTGTAGGTGGGGATAAGAATAAGAAGAGAGAAAGGAAGGAGACATGGGTATGGTTTTTAATATATCTATATAAGCTTTAACATTTTTAGGACCAGCAGGCAGCCAGTGCTTGTCTCTTCTGCTAGCATCCCCTGACTTACAGCCAATCACTGCAGAATACCCCCAAAACCACTCTACATTTCAAAAAGTCTCAGATCAAGTAATGAAAATATAAAAACTGTGAATCTTTCTAAACAAGTTTCTGGTGCTGTAAAGTTAGACAAGAGAGGAGTATCCTTCAAAGTTATATGGAACTAGAAGGTATACAATCAAATCTACAACACCAAAAATGTAGAGATCTAGACCCCAATAGTAAAGAAAAAATGCATTAGTGGTTACTTCCTAAAATGGAAACTACAAACAATTCATCCTGAACCACATCACACAGCTATTGCAAAGGGAAACACATAAGAAGTACCTACTGCTTTCAGGTGTTGGGAAACTACAGTGAATAAAACAAAAATCCCAGCCTCGTGGAGCTTACTTTTCAGTGGGGAAAGACAAATAACAAACAAATTATATATTACATCAAGTGGTAACAAGCAGGGTAAAGAGGATAGGATATGGGGATGGGTGTGGTAGCAATCTACTTTATACAGCTAGTCAAGGAAAGCCCCTCAGATCAAGTGACATTTGAGCAGAGAACTAAAGGAAGTGAGGAAACAAGCCATGTGGCTATCTGAGGAAACATTTCAGACAGAGACAACTGCAATGCAAAGACCAGAAGCAGAAATAAGCTTAAAGAGTATCGGAGGAACAGCAAAACAGCCAATGTGGCTGGAATAAAACAAGCACAAGAAGTGTAATAAAGTCTTAAAAACCATTGTTAAAGACTTTGGATTTACTCTGAATAAAACTATTATAGATTTTTTGAACAAAGTAAGATAATTATGCTTTTTTTGTTGTTGTTGTTGAGTTGGAGTCTCACTCTGTCACCCAGACTGGAGTGCAATGGCCACTCCCGGCCACCACAGCCTCGACCTGCTGGGCTCCGGCGATCCTTCTGCCTCAGCCTTCCACGTAGCTGGAACTACAGACGCGCGCTACCACACCCGGCTAATTTTTGATTTGTTGTAGAGATGAGGTCTCGTCAAGTTGCCCAGGCGGGTCTTGAACCCGTGGGCTCAGGCAATCCACTCACCTCGGCCTCCCAAAGCGCTGGGATTACAGGCTGAGCCACTGAGCCCGACCTAATTATGCTTTTTTAAAAAAAAATCTGTGTTTTAAAGATGTGGGGTACAATTCAAGGTTAAGTATACAAATATTCGTTATGCAGGTAATAATTATGTTTTTAAAGGATCACTCTAGCTGCTGAGTTGAAAATAAGACTACAGAAAACAGTGAGAAGCTACTGTGATTATCTAGGTGAGAAACAAAAGCTATTTGTGCCAGGCTGGTAAGAAATGGTGAGATTCTGCCAGGCACCATGGCTCACACCTGCAATCCCAGCACTCTAGAAGGTGGAGGTGAGAGGAAAGCCTGAGTCTAGGGGTTCGAGACCAGCCTGGGCAATTTAGCGAGATCTTGTCTCTGCCATAAATCACAAAATCAGCCAAGACAAAATTTCAGTCTCATGTTGGACAATTAGTTTGAGGTGTCTATTAGACAGCCAAGTAGAAATGTTGAATAAACTGACGGATACACAAAGTTGGAATGCAGGAGAAAGGGCTGTCATGGAGATTTACATTTGAAAGCTGTCAGCCTACTGATGGTACCATGCAACTGGATGAAATCACCCAAATGAGAGGAGACAGCATTAGAAAAAAATATCAGAAGACTAAGCCCTGCCTGACCACTCCAAGGTCGGGAGATCAGGAGAATGAGGAGGGAGCAGAAAGAGAGACTGGAAAGGAGAGGCCAGCAAGGTGGAAGAGAACTGAGGGGGCTGTTCTGCCAAGTGAAAAAGGTGTATCAAGGAGGAAATGACTAATTATGCCAAATGATGCTGACAGTTCAGTGAGATGAAAACTGAAAAGTGATCACTGGACATGGCAACAGAAAAGACAATGACGGGCACAGGAGCTGCTCTGTCAGAGAGATGCAAACAAACAAAAGCCTAACTAGAACAGGTTCTAAAGAAACAAAGTTCTACATTCAAGATATCTTCCTATAAAGAAAACCAGAGGCCGGGCACAGTGGCTCACGCCTATAATTCCAGCACTTTGGGAGGCTGAGGTGAGAGGGTTGCCTGAGCCCAGGGGTTTGAGACCAGTCCAGGCAACTTGGTGAGACCTCATCTCTATAATAAATAAATAAATAAAATTAGCTGGGCGTGATGGTGCGCACCTGCAGTTCCAGCTACTTGGAAGGCTGAGGCAGAAGGATCACCTGAGCCCAGCAGGTCAAGGCTGCAGTGGCCATGAGTCTGCCACTGCACTCCAGCCTGGGCAACAGAGTGAGACTCCAATGCAAAAAAAAAATGAGAAAATGGTTAATAGCTGGAATAGATGTGGGCTCATGTTTGCATGCTGGTAGATATGATCCTGCAAAAAAGAAAACACACTAGAAAATGCAGGGGGCAAGAGAACTAATGCTAAAATACGTCCTTTAATAGGTTAAGAGAGGAAAACGATGTGCAGAATAGTATGTAATTATCAATTATCGCTGGGCGCAGACCTCAACTCTAAAAAGAAAAAAAAAATTAGCTGGTGGCATGTGCTTGTAGTCCCAGCTACTTGGGAGGTTTGAGCCCAGGAGTTCAAGGTTGCAGGGAGCCATGATCATGCCATGGTATTCCAGCCTGAGCAACAAAGTGAAACTCTGCCTCAAAAATAAATAAATAATAAAATTATGAATTATTTATAAAATAATAAGAACAGTTCATCCACAGCAATAGAAGACTGAATATATGACAGGTAGGTAAAGGCAAGTGTGAGGATGAGAAAATTTTCTCTTACTGCCTGTACTTTCTTAGTGAATAGAAATACTTCTAGCAGCAAGCAGAAAGTAGTATTGGGAACTTAAAGAGAGATGTGTGTGGTGTGTACCTGAGTCAAAGGTACTCAGGAGGCTGAAAAAAGTTTATAATTTGAACCCAAGAGTTGAAGGTTATAGTGAGTTATGGTCATGCTACTACACTCCAGCCTGGGCCAGAGTGAGACCCTGTCTCTTAAAAAAAAAAAGAGAGAGAGGGGAGAGGGAGCCAAGAGTAATCTAAGAGCATGAAAGAGTGATAAACTAAAGCTGGGTTTCCCATCCTTGTTCACACCATGGTAAATATAAAAAAACATTTCTGTGACACTCTGGGGAAAATGAACAAAGCTGTTAAAAATAGGTTGAGATACTGGGCAGCCCCAGATTCTGTCCAGCTGCCCTGAAGTCTACATGGAACAACATTCTCAGCAGTTCAGCAACACAGGAAGATCACCCTGGACTAAGGAAATACAAAATAGTGAAACAGCACTAAGGTTGGTGGTTGTGTGTAATGAGACTGATGTGTGTGATTATGGTTTCTCTGCCACAGTTACTGCTCAGATGCCAGGGCAGAACAGATGGAGAGTTGAATTTAAGTTGCTTGGAGTTTTCCCAGGCAAATATAATGGCAAGAGAAAGACGCAAGGGAGCTAAGGCTATCTGCAATGAGGTGATTAAAATGAAGGACTTATTCTTGTCTGTAAAATACTGTCTACCTTCTTAAAGAGTTGTTGTAAACAACAACACAGGAAGATCGCCCTGGACTAAGGAAATACAAAATAGTGAAACAGCACTAAGGTTGGTGTATTAAATGGGATATGTAATACACTTATATCTGTTTAACGTTTATACACTAAAATACTTGTAATAGTTTGTATTTCTAACAGGTATCACATTTTGAAAGTTTTAAATAACTTTAAAAGACATTACTCTGAAGGCAGAAAGATTATACATCATACTTCATCTCCAAACAGAACTGCTTACTAAACAAGATCAAGTGATCAGCAAACTTGCACAAGATTCTTGTCAATTAAGTCACTAGTGGAAAAAAAGAAAAAATTAGAATCAACTTAACCATTTTTAACCATGTGTGTATTAAAAAGCACTTCAAGCACCAAGTACTATGTGTTTTAGCCCAGTCAGCCTAAAGCCATCAGCGACAAGCCTGTCAAATTTATCAGAGGAATCATGAGATGTCTCACCAACAAAAGAAAGAAGTGTTATTATAGGATTTGGGGCAAAGGTGGAGTTTAGGTGAAATTTAAATTAAGCAGTGTTTTGACAGGCTTAAAACAAAGCAGCACTGTGTATAAAATGTTCAAAATCAGGTCTGGATTGTGGAGCAGAACCAGGCTCCTTTTTCCTTGGAGGGTACAAATATAAGACAAATGTGGAATGTTGTGTCCAGAAACCCTTAATGGGAAGCTCTGCACCTGGGTTGGAAATCATGAGTGCTTCTCTATATTAAAGTGACTTAGATCAAGACAAGAGTGAGTGGGTTCATGCTTATGGATAGAATTTCAAACAGAAAAGTTTCTTATAGTCATTTTTGAGACCAAGCAACGTTCTCAGTGAGTAAGAAAGCTCTAGACTTTCAAGGCAGTCACTATGGCATTCCACCAGTGCAGTATGTCTGGGAGCTAGTTTCCTGTTAACTTTGCAGCTTACTATCAGTGTCTGTATTCTCAGTCTGATGAAAAGCAGGGTAACACTTTATTTTCTCAGTGGGAGCTAACACTAACTTCATCATGTGTCAAAATAGTTTTGTTTTTAAAAGTGTAGGTGTGAACTTGAGTTATTCTTATTTGTTCCAGTATCTATGCATGTTTGCTATGGTCATGTTTTGTAAGTACCTGAATGAACCACTCATTTCTATTTCTTCCTTCTTATTTCCAACATTTCTCATAGTTAAGATCTTACTTTTTCTGGTCTCACTTTGGCTCAATTGTGAGTTTGAAAATATACTCATGAGATTAATTTTCACAGATATTAAAATGCCACTATTTTGATGGCTAAAAATAGTTATGCTAACAGTTTTCAGACTACATTCCAGAGCAGGAAGAAAAATGTATAAGGTGAAAAACCACATTATATGTAAACACACGTTGCTTCTTCACGGAACTGATCCAAGCCCTTAAAAATCTGGTTTAGAGTGTAGTGTTAACATTTGTTAAGCTTATAAATAGCAAGCAGAGGAAATCGCCTAGGAAAGCACAGATGAGGTGTGGTTATAAAGAAAAACAGACTTCTAGATCCAGTGCCAAAATTAAAATTAAATTCAAGGACACCACTAAATTCTTCAGACAACTGAACAGGTTTAGTATTTTATAGTTGGTAAAAGCTTGCTTACTTGGGAATTAAGTAAAAGCACACAACTTCAGAAGTCCCTGATAGATTTTCAAAAATATGCATGGACAAATGAGACCATCAAATGATAAGTGAAAACATCCAAATAATAGGCCCTAAGGACCCATGCCCTCAAGAGGACAGTGTGAATGCTTGGCCTGACCCGTGATCAAAAAACAATCCACTTCTCTCCCCAACTGTCTTGTGACCTGGGTTTGGATACGACATACTTCTCTACGTTGGAGCGAACAAGGCTGTGTGAATAGAGGACAAAATGCACGCCACATAACCATGGTAAGAAGGTACGAACTTGAGCCTTAAAGGTCATCTGGTCAAACAGCTTATTTACAGATAAAGAAACAGAAACAAAGTAACTGAGGACAGGACTAAGGGCCTCTAACAGGCGATTTTTTCCCCTTCCTCCTTCTGTAGGGAGGCAAAACAAGCACTACCACAAACAAAAGCAAAGGAAAGTCTCCGAATCAATCTTAAAAACGAAGAAGCTCAGCCTCAAACACCAAAAAACCCAGAAAAAAGACGTACCCCGACCGACCCCCTCGGCACCCAGCCCCTTGTCTGCCTCTTTCCCCTTCCTAACGGGAACCGCAATTCTCACTTGATCTTGGCAGTGTTGGTGGATTAAATCCCGGACAGAGCACCGAGCCGGGTCACAGCGCACCACTTTGCACCCGAAGCCGGGACCGCGAAGCCACACCAGCACCGCAACGTCGGCCATTTCACCCAGTCCCCGAACCTCGAGACGCCCTAGAACACTAGGCGCCGCAACTAGCACGACGCAGCCTGATGACGCCACGTCTCGTCTTCCAGTGCCCGCCCCTCACGCTTCCGTTCGCCCCGCCCCTCCCATGGGGCGGGTCACGTGACCCGGGTGGCCGCGCGGGGCTGGCTGGGGGAGGGGAACAGGAAAGGCCTGGCGGAGGCCGATAAGGCGGCGAGCGCGGGGCGAGGCGTTGCTAGGGGAAGTTGCTAGGGCGGGGCTCGAGGGACCGGCTATAAAAGGCTGGCGCCGGGTTCGGTTTCGAGCGCTCTGGCTGTAAGCGATAAGCTTGAAGCGTAGCACCGCCCCGCGCCGCAGGCCTTGGCCTTTTTCCTTACATCTGTGTGGTTATTTTTGGATCGTGGTGAATTGTGGCCCGAGACGGCACTGCTACCCGGGGGTGTGAGGGGAGAAGCTATAGTCGCGGAAGCGGTTTTTGGGGGGGCTGCTTCCTGCGACCGAGGGAGCCCCCAACCCGAGGGGCAAAGGGATACGACCTCCAGGAGGTCCCCAAACAATGGCCCGCGTGGTTTTCCCTCCAGGTGTGCAGAGCGTTCTCTTCCTCTCCAGAAACAGCCGAGTCCCTGGCTTCTGTCAGCCACGCTCGGTTTATTCTCATTTCCGCCTGTTTGCGCTGTGCGTTATCTCCACTTGGGCTCTGTTTTCAAAATATTTCACAGCGAGTGGGCCCTTGTGAAAGGCAGGGACAGGAGTGACGTTTATAGTCATGCTGCTTTCAAAAAACCCTACCATAACTTTTATTCTGCACCATGGAAACTCGCGGACGGATTTGCATAACATAACTTGAAGGCTCAGGGAATCTGGAGTCCTTTAATATTTAATATGCTGGGATTATGGTATTTCTAAAGTCCTGAACAATTTAAAAGCCACGAGTATGAAGATAGAGGGGCTATTAGGAGATATCTGTGCCTCCTGAACACAAATGCGTCGGCCAACAGAATCGCATTCTCTGCTGTTAAGATGCTTGGCAAATGAAACTCCTTGCTGAGGGGAAAGCAACAAAAATTACAGAAATCATTTAACTATGGCAGTATAAGCAAAAATAGAATTTCAAGGCCCGGGAAGTTATAGATTCTGTTGTCTTGATTTCACACAAGAGGGAAAGTGTGAGAGAGAAAGGGCCTTCATGGGGATTCCAGTAAATAAAGAAAAACTACAAAAAATAATAAAGATGTGTTGTGCTTAGAAAGTGGTATTTGGAAAGGTGGTGTCATGGTGACCCTGTAGTATGTAAGCTGTCTAAACTCCAGAAACAGATTACAGAGACTCTGTAATCTCACCAGCTCTCTGTCCTCAGGGTTCCTGAACAAGCCATTAAGAGACCTGAGCCCTAAGCCTCTTCTTTGTTTATTCATAAATTCTTCTTTCTGGGATTAAAAATGACTATTTCAAAGTAATAGGGTCTTCCCCCAATTCAAGTAACCATATTAAGATCAGTTGAGGTTTACATAACATTTTTGTGTCAGGGTAATGTTTGTATCCCGTAAAGATTACTTGGGCATTTCTAATAAGGAAAGTCCACATAATTAATTACTAACATTATATCTAGTCCTCCTAAAATCTGAAGTCTGAATGGAATTGTTCACTTTTTATCCCTCTGTTGCACATACATTTCTATTATTCAAAAAATGCCAAGTATTGAATAGGAATTTGTCATTTAAAATACAAAATAACGATTTGATTTTCAAAGACACTGACCCCCTGAGCGATATATACTCTGTAGTTAAATCTTCACAATGAGCACCCAGACATATACAAAGTACATATACAAAGTAGACTTTAAGTAAATATTAGTTGGATATTTGATGAATTACTGAGGTAGTAAGTCAAAATAACTATTCCCAGTGTACATCTGAAGAAACATTTTGCAGTAATATAACACATTCTATCCTAAGGATGCAGAATTCATCTTGGATTGCTCACTATTAGATTCATTTAAATAATAGGGAAACGTAGGTACCTAAAGTTAGAGCTGTGATCAAAAACACAATGCATATCAGTAGAAAAAAATCTAGAAAGACAGCTGATTAGCTGAGTTGCTGAGGGTATAAGGTGGTGTCCAGTTGACAGTGCTGTGTGGCCCTGCTGCTCAGTGATTATGGAATTACGGTGTCAGATAGGAAAGGGTGGTTGAGGGAAAGTGTGAGAGAGAAAGGGCCTCCATGGGGATTCCAGTAAATAAAGAAAAACTACAAAAAATAATAAAGTAGGGTGAGTGGGAGGGGGCCAGTTCCTCTAATTGTCAAAATAATATAGCTGGGCTCCGAGGACCATATTTAGTGTACTTTCCAATAAACCACACTGGCTGTGTTTCTGCTTATGTTCCCTCAAAGAATGCTCTAGCCATGCATTTGCTTTTTGAGGACTGACTCAGTCACCACGAGAGGGACACTGTGAGCATCCTGAGGCAATATGGAATAATTGTTCACTGCCAGGAAATGACAGCACCAGACAGACAATGTTTGTGTGGCAATCCATGACAGGGGCTCAATTGAGCCAAATGTCATGCTGGTCTGCAAGAACAGGAAGCAGAATTGTATACTGGCAGTTTCCATAAACAACAGCAAGGCTCCTAAACTGGTGAGTCTATACCCATGTGTGACATCCAAGTCGCACTTCTGTGTTTTCAGCCATGTTCGTGCTCAGAGGAGAGGGAAGGTGGTTGTTAATACCTCCTTCATGACAAAAGAAAAAGGGACAGGCTGACTCCTTCTGTGGCACAAATGCAAAACTGCCATCAACTTCCAAATTGGCAAGAGTAGCCTTATAGATGGCTCCAGCTCCAGGGACAATGAGGTCAGCTCCTAGGATGGAAAACAGCTTCTGGGTATGAGCTGTGTAGTCCTCACCCGGGTGGTGGATGGTGTGGGAGGTGGAGCCTGAAGCAAGCCCCAAGATGCTGGCTGCCAGGGAAGGCACAGCTCCGCCCTCCTTCCTTTATTGGATAGAAGAAAACAGGCCAATAGTGAGGTGGAGTTGAGAGGTAGAGAAGGCTTGTGTTCAGCACTGACGCTGGGAAGGAGCAGGAGAAGATAGAAAAGACTAGGGCAGAGGTGGGGAGCAGAGATAAAAAGCTGGACCCACAGTCCATGCTGAATGTAGAAACCCACCTCTCTGTAGTGTCAGCAAGACAAAAGGAGCTTCCTTCCGAGTGGACTTCCACCAAGCAATTCTGTCACTCCTAATTGCCCTAGATATCAGCTTATTTGCATTATCATGACAACACTAGTTTACAAAGGCTTACTGATTATCAAAATTCTTACCATCACCATCAAATAATGTTGCAATAAAAATGGTTAATTTCTGTCATGCTATTTACTGTACTGGGAGCTATAAAGCAAAACTAGCATGGTGTCTATCTTCCAGAAATTTTGTATCTCAGTACTGGAATTTTTTCAACATTGAATGTGATTACTCTCTAGTCAATTAAAAAAATGTATAATCCTGTATGAATTCTGCATAGTCAAGCCTTTTAAAAGACTTGTGGGAGAAGTGGTAGGTCTTTGGGGGTATTTTTTTTTTTTAATTAGTTGACATTATCGTATGTCTGCTGTATTAGGGTTTTCCAGATAAACAGAACCAACAGGATGAATAGGTAATAATAAGGAATTGGCGCACACAATTATGAAGGCCAACAGATCCTAAGATCTGCAGGGTAAGCTGGCAAGCTGGAGACCCAGGAGAGCTAATGGCATAGTTCCCACCAGAAGGCTGGCAGGCTGGAGACCTAAGAAAGGGCCTTTGTTTCAGTGCAAGTCCTCAAGTCCAAAGGCGGGGAAAGCTGATGTCTCAGTTCAAAAGCAGTTGCGCAGGAGGAGTTCTTCTTGACCTGAAACAGAGTCAGTCTTTTTATTCCATTTAGGCCTTCAACTGATTGGATGAGGCCCACCCACATTTGTGAAGGCAGTCTGTTTTATTCAACCTACCGAATTAAATGTTAACCTCATCCTGAAACACTCTCATAGGAACACCCAGAATATTTGACCACATGGCTAGGCACCCCATGGTCCAATCAAGTCAACAAAGAAAAGTAATCATCACATTCACTAACTGGAGTATCTTTGATAAATAGCCTTCACTATTTTATTTAAGTTTAACTGTGGCAACCAAAGAGGAAATGTTATTTTAGCCTATAGAAACTGATTAGAATCAGGTATTTCTTACTCTCCAAAAGTTTTGCTGTGTGAACTCGTTTGACTGTTTTGCACATTTGTTTCTAAGTGGTTGAAGAGCTACAATTATGGTTGTTAGGATTTACAGGGTATGGTCAGAGTTCCAAACTGTGAATTCTTTGAGATTTCTGAAATAAAAGGTGTGTGCCTTATCAATTAAAAGTTCAGGGGTCACTGGGCAACTGAATTGGGATTTGGCTTTGAATACATTAACCAAATTTCTTTTAACAGTTCAGTTGTCTGGTTAACTCAGCTATCTGGAACTCATTATAAAAAAAGAGAGTCAGGTGCAATGACTCAGGCATGAAATTCCAGCACTTTGGGAGGATAAGGTAAGAGGATTACCTGAGCCCAGGAGATCAATACCAGCCTGGGCAACATGGCGAGACCTAATAAATTTTTTAAAATAATAAATAAATACATTTTTTAAAAATTAGCCAGCTGTGGTGTTGTGTACCTGTAGTCCCAGGTACTTGGAAGACTGAGGCAGAGGGATCACTTGAGCCCAGTAGGTTGAGGCTGCGATGGCCATGATCACACTACTGCACTCCAGCCTGTGCAGCAGAGTAAGTCTCTCACTCAAATAAATAAAAACAGGGGGTCATTGCTTTGTTAAGCTCTAGTGTGTACACATGGTTGCCATGTTTCCTAGCTTTGGCCCCAATTTACTTTCTAAATAAACTATATTTTCCAATCTAAAAAAAAAAAAAAATAGGGGCCAGGCACAAAGTCATACCTATAATCCTTGTACTTTGGGAAGCTGAGATAAGAGGACTGCTTGAGCCTAGTTCAAGTCCACCCTGGGCAACAT